GCATCATCCAGGTGGAGCTGCACATTGGTGGTGGTGGAGAGGAGTCCCCTTTACCTGTAAAGCGCTTTGAGTGGAGTGTCCAGAAAAGCGTTATATAAGTGTAAGCAATTATTAATTATTATTAGAAAACTTTCCTTATGTTTTACCTTTAAAGTAAATATTTTGCATTTTGTCCTCCATGTTTAACATTTATTTTATTCCAGGCGCACGTGTAGTGTTGGTCAATAAAATCTACAGTACTTAATCAGAGAAACGTGACTTCCTTTCATGTTTCAATCATTTATTTTAATCATTTATTGCAATATTTATTAATCATCCAATGAAACATACCACTTACAACCAGAACACATTGACACACTGTAGTTTAATTCTTCATGTTGATTAACATTTGTCATCAATAGGGGTTGATCAGCAGAGGGTTCATTGTGAAAATCACAGGCTAGAGAAGTGTATTGCCATTGTAGGCAGCAATACAAGCTGTACATCATAGACAGGTTTTATAGGGCGTGACCAAGCATGTGCAGCTTCAGCAGTCTGAGCCATAAATGTGAGACATTTAAACAGTTCATTCCACAATGGGACACAAGTGTGGTGAGTAGGGATTCCATATATAAATCCACCAATCCATTGTCTTAACAGCTTCATCCAATTTTGGGTCGCGGGGGAGCCAGCGCCTATCCCATCAAGCAATGAGAGCAAGGCTGGTTACTTCCTGAACAGGATGCCAGTCTATCACAGGACAGACACACGCACTCAGACTAGGTCCAGTTTTCCTAGAAGCTGGTTAACCTACCAGTATGACTTTGGCCTGTGGGACGAAATTGGAGCGCCCGGAGGAAACTCGCACAGACGTGTGGAAAACATACAGATTCCATGCAGATAGCCCCCCAGGGCCAGAATTGAACCCAGGGCCCCAGCACACACTGTACACCCATACACGGTATATGAAGTTGTATGAGCAGGTTTTCCTGCTGGAACGTTATCCTGTTAGGATAAGGCTGCAGGGAGAGCAGCAGGAGAGGAAGCAGAAGGTGATGAGTGCAGTGCAAGGCGGTAGGGTTGCCATCACTCGTTACAGGTGGAGCTCCGTTGTGACTAGAAAGTCCCGCTCAGATCATCACACCTGGACTTCCCCATCGACAGGGCTGTCGTACACAACAACCAGCCACGCTATTCCTTCACATCTGTGCCACACGTGCAGGCACTCTTCAGGGTGGTCTGCACACAAGCTTGAAGAGGACTTGGCACAAAAACATTATTCTGTTCATGAGCAGCACACATTGGTTCCATTCCTGTATTAATCAGTGAAATCAAGGAAGTGCAATTATAACTTACCCATTTTCTTTCTTTTCTGTCCTCATATTCTTCTTCCTTTTGTGGTGATATTGATGTAATTCTTTGTTGCCGCAGTTGTCACAGTCATGTAATTTTGGTTGTTCCCAGTAAAACTGCAAATAAAAAAAATTATTAAATCAAGCAGTCCTGTAATTGGCAGTATACTGTAGATAAGTGTTTTAATCAAAATGTGGTCTGCTGACCCTAGCTCTTATTGCATTTAATAGGCAGCATGGCTACTTAGAGCAGTGACGTGTATAGATCTGACCACCCTCTCTGGTGACGACACTCCCTCCAATGTCCAGCGGTTGTGTTTAAAAGCCATCCATCCCATTCGCGACGACCTGCTCAAAAGCATGGACATGGATGACAAAGGTAGGTCGATCTGATGTTTCCCTCTGGTTATGATAACAGCAGATACACTAGTGAGGACACACCAGCTCTTTCACTGGTAAGCCTTTTTTGTAAAAGGTATTTATTGAAATTGGAGCTAATTAACATTATTCTTATAGCAGGTCTTGTGTAACATCTCAGGTTATAACATTCAGTATGCAGCACTGTAATGTTAGGAAATGCCTGTCATCTGTTAATTTTTTTTTTTGTAAGTTGACTAAAAATTATTGTAATATGTTTTCTACATTCAATCCAAGAAACAAAATCAATCAGATCTTTCGTCCCTATAGGCTATATTTTAACATTTTTACACTATTAACCTGAATACCGTTTCTTCACAGTGTCGGATTAAATAATGACTAATATTTAAATTGTAAATAAATAGTTGTTAGTTATTTCAAAAAGGAGAAGCTACTGTAGTCCCAATATGAGCACACTTCCTTTAAAAGAAATAATTCCATTGCATTAACAATTGTGTAAGATTCCTGACTTGAGACCATGTCTCAGGAACTTTGCATATAAAACATACCAATCTGTGATATTAAATTAACAGTGTGAGTGTTGGTCCTGACTTTAAGTAGTTTTTACACACTACTACTGCTACTACTGTACTAATAACAACAATCAAAAACAAAACCAAAGCTTTGACTAAACATAATCTATAATCTATGTCTAACATAACCCAAAAGGAATGTTATAAGAATAGGAGAGGGGATACTACTGCCCCTCTGAGCTAAACACCAGTATTTCCCTTTTCGAGAACAATTACTCTGAATTAGTGCAGACAATAGGTGAGACTACGGAAGTGACCATCTTTTTGAGTCTGATTTCGCAGCCTCTAGTGGCAAGTCTGTGGTAATTGCAGACCTCTCACTGGCCAGTCTCCATAATGCTAATAGTCATGGTGAATAATAATAATAAACTTTATTTTATATAGCGCATTTAAAGGTGGCTTCTCAAAGTGCTTTACAGAATGACAACAACAATAAATAAAAAGAATACACAAGATAAAACACAATTACAATACACAGGGGAGACTGTGGATGGAGGAAGAAAAGTAGAAGCAGAGGGGTAAAGAATGGAACCAGTTAAGTAAAGGCGAGGGTTTTGAGTCTGGATTTGAAGGAGTTTAGAGAAGGTGACTCTCTGATATCCTTGGGCAGAGAGTTCCAGAGCTTGGGGGCATAACAGGAGAAGGCCCTGTCACCCATACAATGTAGACGGGCTTGGGGGACAGTTAGGAGACCAGAATTAGAAGAGCGAAGGTTGTGAGGTGGGGAGTAGGGCGATTATAGTTCAGATAGGTTGAATGATGATGCTTTTTTAATTCTGTTGTTTATGTTTAAAAAAAAAAGTTTTTCTGTTAACGTTTGATAAGATAGAGATCATATCCTAGTATTATGGAATTAATGTGAATATGTAAAAGTATTACCACACAGCTGAAGAGGCCGCAAAAGCTAAAACATGTTTTTTCTTTTTACCTTTCATCTTAGAATTAATCTAATTAAATTAATCTAAATTAATCTAATTTAGAAATCTACTTGTTGCTAAAAATGTATCATGTGGTACAATTCAATTCAAACATAATGGTAGTATAACATATGTCCACTAGAGGGTGCCTACATATTTCTTTAATGCAGAACTAAATTAGAGACTTTTCTTAGACACAACTAAAATCAGAAATTAAATTTGTTATTTGATTAATCTATGGGCATACAGTAGTATTTCTCAATTTTAGTTAAAATGTTAAACATCAGAGGTTCTTTACAGCAGTTCACTAGATCTGTGTTATGTGTAGTCAATGAAGAAGCAGTTGTACAGAAAAATAACTTGTAATTTAGACAGCATGGACATCATTGCTTATATGAATCTTTAAAATTAAATCCTCTTCCTGTGGCCTACAACATTGCCAATGGGCATAATGTCCACACTGACTATTTGAATAATGGAACTGATGTAATGTTTTTGTGATGCTCTACATATTTCAGCACAGGGAGAGACTGAGAGACTAAGAGGTATAATAATATAAGAATAATGTCTCTTACTTTGACAAAATGTAATGTAATGTAATACAGTAACATCAATAACAAAATTATTTTTACATTTTGATATCACTTTTTTTTCATTGCAAAACTTACGTAATTATCCACCTGCTATTGTTACTCAATAGGGAAATTGATTTTATTCTGTCAACGGTAAAAACAATGCACAGTAACTTGTTGTGGTCTTTGATCAAATGTGTCCGTCCAATGGTTTAAGCTGACTTATACAGTAGCTTCCTTTTTTCACTGCTGGGTTTTTTAGTCACTTAGCAAAACATCAAGCTTCCTTCATACAAAATATTCACCCCCTTTCAGTGATTTTGTAAAATTAACTGTAAATGTACAGTTTTATGGAAGTTTATCAGGCATTCAGGTTTTGAAAGGTGTTACTGTTTTCTCCTGCCCAGGTATAACTACAGCTGCGGTTTGTGTCTACCCGGCTCGTGTAACTGATGCAGTAAAAACACTTAAGACAGCCAAGTCTAACATCCCTGTGGCCTCAGGTAAGTGCACAGACATCTTTAGGTTGAGCATTTAATACCGCTCATACTTGAGGTGATATGGTACAGAGTGTCCTGGGAATTCCCTTGTGAAACCGAAGCGATGTGATAACTTGGTGTACACCATGGCAGAAGAATTTAATCACTGCCTGAAGAATTTAATTTGCTTAATAATATTCTAAGCAGCAAAATGCCAGACATAAGATGATTCCACTTTAAGGAATTAAGCAATAACATGTAATTTGATTATAGCAAATTAAATCAAATAGATACATTCAAAATCAAATAAGATGTAATTATAATAAAGAATTAAGAAGGATGTGGGCTAGAAGATTGAAACCTTTAGAAAGAATTCAGTCCTGTTCTTGAATGCTTATTTGTACAGTAAGTTCCTCAAGCTCCTCAGCCAAAGATGGTTGCAATGGAATTACTAAGGTGGAAAAACTACTCTTTGACTGGATGATGTTGAAGAGAGGGGCCTTTAAAACCAGACTTGGTTTGTTTTAACATGCAGAACAAGGGCTGTTTTAAAATTTCAGTGCCGATGATTTATTCAGACAATGGAAAGTGTTCCCAAGTTTTTGTGCGGAACATTAATAACACTCTCAATTTCTCATATTGAGTTGGCATGTGAAAAACCTATTTTAGAAAAAGGACATTTGTATAGAAGTAAATGTGAGGAGTCTGCATATTTCTTGCACCAGAACATGATCAAAAATATTCTTTGCTTAGTTTAACAAACTCGCAGTCCAAGTGAGAGTTTTTTTTAATAGTTATGGAAGTTGTGGCCTTCGCTCACTAAAACAGGGACAATTTGCATTATTGCTGCCTGGTAGGGGGACACCACAAAGTATGAAATCTTAAATACTTTATTCTGTATGAATTGCTTAATAGTTAATACATTTATAGATTATTAAAGTAAATGTTTGCTTCGCATATATCCTCTGTATGGGAAACAGCGGGAAACAGCACAAAACAGCATGAGGGTTTACAGACAAAGGTACAAAGGGGTGATGGAAAATAAAGTACAGTACTGTATACGTAGGAAACCATGAGTAGCACTGAACTGCACTATCAGCCTCCAGGACCCCCTGCTCCCCAATGCAAAGATATTCTCTGCCTGCTCACAGTTCAGTTCTGCACCTTACTCTCCACTCCACATTCACTGTTGCAGCAGCTCTCTAGTTCATTCCTCATAATTAGAAAAAAGGGGAGGTTTCAGGTTGAGCCAGATTGGGTTATTGGGGCAGAGCGTGTTTATTAGTGATTCGCGTGTCGGATTTTTTTTTAACCCGCACCCCGCCTGCAGTTGTGAGAAATGAACCCGCCCCCGCCCGACCCAATCTAAAATCTTTTGTTAACCCGCGCATCACTAGTGTTTATATTGTTGTTCTCTTTAACTTTTGTTTATATATTATTTTATGATGTTTAGGAGAGAAATGTGGTATTAAATTAGAAGTAAAGCTTTAAGAAATTAGAAGTATTTTTTACATGCTACGTACAGTATGGTCTTAAGACATCAAGAGTGACCAAAAAAGTTCTCACAGTGCAGAGAGGTAAAATCACATGAAATCTTTTGAAGGTACCTGTGTAAATCCCCAAACACCTGAAAGTTCTGAACGTTTTGAAAAATAAATACCAATTCACAGAAATTTTAAATAAAAATATTATCTTAAACATACTGTAGGCATTTCATCCATCCATTTCCTAAACACTTCCAGTTCAGGTTTGCGGGGAATCTAGAGCCTATCTCTGCCAGCAATGAGCACAAGGCAAGGTACATCCTGAACAGGGCACCAGTTCATCACAGAGCAGACACACACACTCACACGAGGGCCAATTTTCCCAATGTTCACGCAAATGGACCTACCAGTATTTATTTCACTGTGGCAGGAAAATGGTGTACCAGGAGAAAAACCACGTGAACTCAGGGAGAACACACAGAAAAACAACAACAGATGCAAATGGAAAACAGCACCTCACTTACAGTACATCAGGCTTGAATTGAACCGAGGACCCAAGCACTACTGTGCTATCTTCTTGATGTTGCAGGGTATATAAATGACTCAGACCTCATGGTAATTGTTCCACGAGCTTGACATGTACAAAATGCATTACCACAGTGGATGAGGCCCTGCATGTTCATCATCATTTTATCCTTGAGAATGTGTTTCAGGTCCCTCTGACAGTGTTCATCTGCCGTACATGCAGCGTGAACATTTCATTTGTTCACTGTGGCTTCTGAATGGACTGATGGCAATGGGACAAGACTTCTTCCTTCATCACAAGCCTTTTCTTTGCAGTTTTGTTTCCCCTTTGGGATTGGATCTTGCTTTGCTCTTTTAGTCATTTTCTCCTCTTTGCTAAAACACTTGATGACTGTTTGTAGAGGCAAGAACCATGACTATAAGTAGCTTCCTAGCCATTTCTTTAATACAGTTCAGTAAGTGAAATGACAGTGCGGTCGTTCGTAACAGACGGATTGATCTTACTGTAGTGGCCACAGGGTTTCCTGCCGGACAGACCTCCTTGAAAACGCGTCTCGAAGAGGTGCGCCAGGCAGTGGAGGACGGAGCCCGTGAGATTGACATCGTCATTAATAGGACTCTAGCGCTGACTGGGCAGTGGGAAGGTAAGCTTGGCAGTTAATGGCAGCTTCGCATCTACATTCTCTGTTACAACAAATCCTTGTTCTGGGGAAAGTGTCAGTCTTTACATTTGCAAAGACAGGATCAATCTTAGCCTTTTTAAACTTTTTGATACATATTTCTGTTGTATTTACTGAGTTCGTAGTCATGTTTCTCTGTATCTAGACCTGTGGCCTTTCATCAGAAACTTGGGCTGGGCATGATATGGATATACAGTTCCTAATATTTCACTGTTTTTCTGTGCCTTTTAGTTAGAGTTCGGTTGTACTAATATTTCTACTTTGGTTTCTGTAATTGCTGAGCTGAAGCCACATAGGTGGCTTCTGTTCTGTATACACTCTCACAAAAGTTCTTCACAAGAACAGAAACTGGTACAACAAATGTCTACCAGAAAAAAAGTAATAAATATCAAACAATAAAACGAAAAAGTGAAGGTATATGTCATTTAAAAATACTATGATTGCAGCTGTTCTCTATGTCCTTTAGAAATTACTGGACTTAGTGTTTTTACTGTATATTGTCTCAGCATAGTTATAAAATGCATGATTGTAATTATCCCATGTGGATATTTTGAGCTGTTGTAGTGGTTAAGTTTGGGTAAAGTGCTAAATACGTTTCCTCTTACAAAGGCAGACCTACTGTCACAACATTTGAGAACCAGGATCTATAATGTAAGCACAGTGAAAATAAAGTGTAAGTAAGGGGAATATTTAAATAATTAATGTATCATAGGGGATTGTATTTGATTTACAAAGATGTTATCCTGTGAGAAGGACTGGGAACAATAGAGACAACCTGAAATCATATGTAATGCACAGAGTAAGGTAGAAAAGAAGATAAATCTTTACAACAAAAAAAAACTAATAACAGTTCTGTTTAATCATGGAGTCATTAATCCTCCGTTACTGTAAATGTCAGCATTTCATTCAGGTGAAATGTATTTTGTGATTCTGTAAAAACAATATTGTTATAATGTTTTCCTATATAGGCCCATCTTTTTTTAATGAAATACACCCGCACAATTTGGAATCGCCAGTTACAGTATGTGTTCAAGTGTCGGCTCACAGTGACAACCCCTGTGCCTATAAAAAGTACAGTCAGACTTTCAATCTGCTCCTGCATCGAGCTGTTCATCTTCTGACACTACATGCTTTGCAGCAACGTGCAAGGTTCAGTGCTTGCAAGCACCTGGGATGTGGCATGGGATCCCTGTTTCACCAGGTAACGAGAGGGACTTGGCTGGCTAATGCCAACCCTATTCCTGGCGGTGCCAGGCCTGTTGTATGTCTGCTTGGGCGCAGTCACCTAGCAACATGACAGAGATTCAAACCTGCAAAGCTCTGGATCATACTGTGTGCAATTCAATGTCATCTAACCTGTCCCTGCGCAAAACTTAATGAACATACTGTATTGACCAAAATAATTTTTTTATTTGTGATGTCTGACACCTGGATAAAGTAAAATGTGTTTTTATTTCAGTTTCTGTATGGTAACCTCAAAATCCTATTGTTTTTGTAGTTTTGAAGGGGTACTTGGATTGTCTGGGTTGATATCAGATGGTGTCTAATATAGATGGCATGATTAATTTTAAATGATTTTCTTCATTTTAATTATTTTACTTGGTTTATTACTGCAGTGAAACAATTTAAACTATATGAACTTACAGAACACAACAACATAACTGCAAGCGTATTCTGATTGTCAGAGAAAAGGGGAGGGAGCATCTGATTTACTGTGGATTTACAATGGTTTGCAATTATGGTATAACAAAACAAAACTCAAGAGCAAACAACTTAATGCATCTCTTAGTTTGTTTCAACAAGAAAATACGACATAAAAAATGTCAAGCTTGGAGAACTTTTAGGTGTGGTCGTGTTCTGTTACAACTTTAGACTTACAGCTGTAGGGATTTTACATACTGTATACCATTAATATCCTTGGAAAGAGAGAGTGCTGTAACTCCATCCAGTCTTCGTTGAGATATGAGCCCTTAATATCTTATGAACTCCTCTTATTCCTGCTCCAAAGTAAACAGCGCAGATCCTTCAGCCGAGAAGGGTGGAGCAGGATCAATCTTTAATCTAGAAAGAAGCTGTTTGTCAGAGGCAGTTTAAAATTACGTAGCTTGTTGCACTCTCCTGAAGAGTGATCTCCACAGATTCTGAGGAGATTCTACCAAACCTGATCTCGCTGTTTCAAAGATGGAAACCATTGCAGGGACTGTCGAGATCATCTTGCTTTTACCCCTCAGGCAAGCCCACTCTGTGCCCACCCAAGTCCCCCAGCTTGACCACCTGAGTAATAAGCACTCCCTTTGTTCACCGACAACCAAGTACTGTTTCAGAATCAATTGGTGAATGGTTGGCAGCTGTTGCAGCAATTTGTGAGCTCAGTTCTTATAGGCACTGCCTCCTTCTCCTGTGTCTGCATGAGCAGATTGATTTTTTGAGTAATTCAAGAGATTCTTTTAATCTTTTAGGCTGTGTCCCAAAATGCACACTTGTAATCTTGTGCCCTTCATATGCACTTTCCTGCTTAGGTCTGCAAGAGCTTAGTGTGTCCCCTTTCTTTTCACAAGGGTGCTCACGAGCGCC